CTGCAGAGCAGGCAGTGTCAGCACTCTGGAAGGAAAGGACACAGTACTGGGAGTAGAGATGAAAATTCTGAAAACTAGTGTCACAAGTGGGAGAAAAATGACCACGTGTTCATGTCTGGGATAGGTCAAGAAGGAAATATAGTGTTAAACTTCAGAGATGACAGTCCTCCATGTTTCAGGATCAGTTTCCATGTGTGATAAATGGGGACAAGGTAAGGAGTCAATGAGTATGTGTTTGTCAGCACCTGGCATGTAAGAGCTACCCTTAGGAATAAGTATCTCCATCATCTATGAAGAACTAGCCCAGCATGCATTGGAGGATATTCTGGTTCTGCCAAGTGTCCTATGGGTGATCCGTGAGTGGAGTGTGAGAGGATGCCATAGGGGAAGCTCCATAGACATGGGCACTTTCATCCAATCATCTCACATTGCCCATGCTGGAGTAATGCCTGCTTCCTATGAAGTCTTCAGTGAACATTAGTGCATCCAGTTGCACATGTGTGAGTTGAACTAACTAAAAATGTGAAAGTAGACCTCAGTTTTCTGAGCTCCAAAGAAAGTTCTCATTTGAGTTCCTAGCCTGTGGTTTTCTGATAGAAGCCCAGATTTCCTTAAAACAAACAAAACAAAACACTCACCTAGATGGAAGGGTTCCTCTATCCTTCCTAGAAAGAGAAGCACAAGCTTTCCTCATGCTCACTTTGCTCAGGACACACACCCTGTGTCTCTCCTACCATCTCCTCCTGCCCCATTCCCAGTCTATGGTTCCTCCACACCAGCCTTCCATGATCTTTCCCATCCCACAGGAACCAGAGCCAGGGCTAGGGCTGAGTACCGGAGCATCCATCACCCAGATCTCCACAACAACCCCACCAGACACACACTCACCAATTGGAGAGATGTAATGTATCGTTCTGACTAGAAAGAGAAAATACATTGCCCACCCTGGAATTAGTATTCATATTACTATTACTTCCCCTGTGTCCCAGACATTTCTCTATCCTCTACCCCCTTCCCTGTGCAGAAGACCAGGTCCCAGGCCTTGGACAAAGAAAATCAGGTGGGATTTTGTTATTCAGTTGTCAACATGAGGGAACAGGTCTGAATCTCACAGCCCCAGAATGCTTCACTCACCTAGATGTCCTCCAGAACGTGGCACTGGAGAGCGAAAGAGAAGGATTCACTCACCAAGACTCACCCTCTGCACCCCTCCCCTTACCTCAGACTTCTCCAATGCCTCCATCCACCCTTGTTTTTCACCTTGGAATTCTACTCTCATGGGAAATTTCCTATGATAATGCATCCCCAGGTAGATCCTGTCCAACAAAGACATACTTATCTCAAATATTTCCTCAGATGATTTGCAACTCCATTCTAAGTCAGCGAGGGCACTTTTCAACCTAGGACGCATATGAAGCATACCTAGAAAGGTTTTCTTCTTAGCTTTAGCAGAAAG